GAAAAAACTGAGCTCAGAAAATCTCTTTGCACCTTCTAGGTAGTTTGGGGGCAGTTCTGGCATTTTTTTTCAGAGGCTCTCAAAAAAATGCCCCCACACTCCACACATTTTAAAAACTTTTAAAAATATATACACCACAAGGGATAAGATGATTTTTGCTGGCAGAAAAGGCTCCTGCCTCTTGCCACTCCTAACAGCTAGCACATCTTTGAGTTAAGATTACAATATATCTGTGAAGATTCTCAGTCATCCAAGTGAAGTTAGGGTTAGGAAGATGAGTCATGGCAACTGGACTACTTTCTTATTAGGCTGAAACATTTCGCTACTCATCCAAGTCTGAGGAGAGTTGGTAGGAGGCCCATGATATAATAAGAAAGAAGTCCAGTTGCCATGACTCAATTTCCAGTTAAGCTTACAATGTAACACAGTTGTAGTTGTAGAAGGGGTAGACGTGTTACTCTGTGCAAGAAGAATAGATAAAAGAAAAAGAAAAAGAAAAAGAAGAAACATGGTAGGACCTTAAAGATTAACTTTTACATTTTTTTATGTGAGCTTTCATGGACAAATGGATTTCATCAGACAATGTAACAAAGCTTCTTGTTGTTATTTAGTTATTTAGTCATGTCCGACTCTTCATTGCCCCATGGACGAGTGCAAGCCAGGCCCTCCTGTCTTCCACTGCCTCCTGGAGTTCAGTCAAATTCATGTCGGTAGCTTCGATGACACCGTCCAGCCATCTCGCCCTCTGTTGTCCCCTTTTCCTCTTGCTTTCACACTTTCCCAACATCAGGGTCTTTTCCAGGGAGTCTTCTCTTCTCATAAGATGGCCAAAGTATTGGAGCCTCAGCTTCAGGATCTGTCCTTCCAGTGAGCACTCAGGCTTGATTTCCTTCAGAATCGATAGGGTTGTTCTCCTTGCAGTCCAGGGGACTCTCAAGAGTGTCCTCCAGCACCACAGTTCAAAAGCAACAGTTCTTCAGTGGTCAGCCTTCTTTATGGGCCAGCTCTCCCTTCCATACATCACTACTGGAAAACCCATAGCTTTGACTATGCGGACCTTTGTCTGCAAGATGATGTCTCTGTTTTTGGTTTGTCATTGCTTTCCTCCCAAGAAGGGTCTTTGGGTCTTTTAATTTCATGGCTGCTGTCACCATCTGCAGTGATCATGGATCCCAAGAAGTAAAACTCTGTCACTGCCTCCATCTCTTCCCCTTCTATTTGCCAGGAGGTGATGGGGCCAGTGGCCATGATCTTGGTTTTATTTTTTTATGTTGTGCTTCGGACTCTGCAGTGATCATGGATCCCAAGAAGTAAAACTCTGTCACTGCCTCCATCTCTTCCCCTTCTATTTGCCAGGAGGTGATGGGGCCAGTGGCCATGATCTTGGTTTTATTTTTTTATGTTGTGCTTCGGACTATTTTGCACTCTCCTCTTTCACCCTCATTAAGAGGTTCTTTAATTCCTCCTCACTTTCTGCCATCAGAGTGGTATCATCTGCATATCTGAGGTTGTTGATATTTCTTCTGGTAATCTTAATTCCAGTTTGGGATTCATCCAGTCCTGCCTTTCGCCTGATGTATTTTGCATATAAGTTAAATAAACAGGGAGACAATATACAGCCTTGTCGTACTCCTTTCCCAATTTTGAACCAATCAGTTGTTCCATATCCAGTTCTAACTGTTGCTTCCTGTCCCACATATAGATTTCTCAGGAGATAAATAAGGTGGTCAGGCACTCCTATTTCTTTAAGAACTTGCCATAGTTTGCTGTGGTCAAAGGCTTTTGTGCAGTCAATGTAGCAGAAGGAGATGTTTTTCTGGAACTCTCTGGCTTTCTCCATAATCCAGCGCATGTTAGCAATTTGGTCTCTAGTTCCTCTGCCCCTTCAAAATCCAGCTTGGACTTCTGGGATTTCTCGGTCCACATACTGCTGAAGCCTACCTTGGAGGATTTGGAGCATAACCTTGCTAGCGTGTGAAATTAGTGCAATTGTACAGTAGTTGGAGCATTCTTTAGCACTGCCGTTCTTTGGGATTGGTATGTAAACTGATCTTTTCCAGTCCTCTGGCCACTGTTGAGTTTTCCAAACTTGCTGGCATATTGAATATAGCACCTTAACAGCATCATCTTTCAAGATTTTAAATAGT